CTCGCCGGTATCTTTATTAGATCAAAGCATATGCACAAAGTACAATTAAACTATCTAAATTACAGATCTGACATCACCCAGCTACCTCTAAGGGTGCCCAAGTGCAGTTTGCCTTACCGGTTAAGACTATTGCTCATACCGAAGGGCTATACCAAGCTAGTCTAGAAAACTATCACAAGATAATTTCATAATAAAAAAATTTTTAACTAAATTAAATTGGCAATTTCCTCTTACTAAACTTTTCTCTTTTTTATAACAGAATCCTAAATCTAATTTTTTAATAAACAAAATAATTTCTTTTTTCAACATCAAGTCATTGCCAAAATTCTTTTATTTGTATTTAGATTTCTTTTTTCTCTTCTTCCAGTTAAACTTGTCTTTTCTGATTCAAGACCTGGTTCCAAAGAGTCTTCTCATATCTTTTCCTATAATTTCTCTTTCTTGTCATGTAGCTCTGTAATTTCTTTTTTCTTCCCAAGGACTTGTTTTAATAGTTTCTTCTAGAAATATTCTTCTGTATATTCTTTTTTCCTTAGAGTATCTTAGATCTTCTTTCTATTTCTTTATTTTTAGATTTGAAGTAGCAAATATTGCAGCAGCGGGAATTCCTATTTTTATTAATTCATTCTTATAATTTGTATTATGCATAATATTAGATATATAATTAATTTTTAATTGTAATTTTTAAAATAAAAATTTACTTACTAATTGATTTTCCATTATTGCTTTTAAAGGTATAAATACAATAGTTAAAGCTTTTGATAATATACTAGATATTAAAAAAATAAGTGTTTTTCTGGCACCTGTTGGTAAGATAGTTAAAGTATTTTGTCCTTTTAAAAAAGATTTAATACTTTCTTGTTGTAATTCCCGATAGTTGTTTAGTTTAAAAAAATCACTTATTATAGAATTAATTAATTCTGTAGGATTTTTTTTTTCTGATTCATTATTATTATGAAATTTTTCATTTATAATATAATCAGATAATCCATGCTTATTATAATAATAACATAAATTACATAATTCACCTTTTGGTGATCATTTTGGAAAACAACTACATCCTTCACAAAGTATATAACCATCAAAGTCAGAAATTAAATTAGCAAATGAAGGTCAGAATTCTTGATGAATTATACTATCTTTAATTACAATTCCGTAAGGTATCAAATCCTACAAATTTAAGTTTAATTTATATTTTATATATAAATTTAACTAATTATATATTTATAATTATACCTTTAAAAAGTCAAATTCTTCCATCTGTTTTTGCATTTCAGCAATTTTATTAGCGCATGCTGTATTTCTTTCATTAATTTTTGCAATATTGCATTTACATTTATCCTCTCGTTGTTTCTATATTTTTCCAATATTAATCTGATTTTGTTTAGAAAATTCTATGAAGTTTCCTGCTCGTTTAATAGTATTTAACATTTCTAAAAGACCATTATTATTATGCAAAATTGCAAGTGCATGTCGTACTGAAAAAGATTTGCTAAAATCTACTTTTTTATCAGCATAATTTAGTTTAATATGATTAAATGATTCATTCATACTAGTTCGAATAGTGGTTATTAGACTTTGTTTTGGAGGAAGTTTGGTATTTTTTTTAAAAATTCTTTAAAATCGTTTACTTGATTTTGAGTATATTCAACTAAATTTGGATTAACTAATTGAATTTCTGGATTTTTAACTTTCCAGCAAATTTCAGGCCAACAATTTTGGTGTTTATCAGAAAGATGATCTGCACATATTTTACTTTGCATTAAATACAAATTATTATCAGTTAAAGATTCAATATCAGGATTTTGTGATCTTGCAACAGCAGCATAGACACTTTTAGTATAAAAATCCATTATTGGTTGTTCAAATCATTTCTATCTTTTTTCATTAACTAATATTAAGATAAGTTAATAATTTAATTATTTAATTAACAATACTAAATATATAATTATATTAATTAACTATTTTATTTTTTAAAATTTTTGATTTATGGTTTAAATCTGCAAAAATTTTATGAATTACTTTCTCTCTAGCAAGTATTTTATTAGTACTTAAATCACCATCAACAGCAACATCTAATAAAACATTATATTTACAAAGAGTAGATGTAGTTTTACTAATTATATTTATAAGATTTGCATGTTCCATTTGTCAGCTACTACTATCATGATTGTCTGCATTAATAACTTTTTTTCATTTTTATTATTATAAATTCGGGTTTTTTTACTATACTAAATCTAATAATTGGTTTGTGTTGAAATCCTAATTACAAAAATTAAATTATTTTATTTTTATATAATTTAAAATTAAAATTTTAAAATTATAAAATTATCTTCAGGTATTCTGTTATAAATAAATTCAGCACTTGCCTGAGGAGCTTCTCGAACTTTACTCCATGAACAATCAAATCCTACTTCTAAAATTTTATTTTTTTTGAAATAACTTCCTTACAAGCTATATTTAATGCATTATTTGCACTAGCTTCAGTTGTATTTTTAATTTCATTAAAAAATTTTTCTTGATTTTGAAAATATTGAGATTTTCCACTTTGGCGTGTTATTCCACACAAGCATAGTATAGTTGACTATTCTTTGTGATTAACTTCACTAGCTAATCCTGTGGCAGCTATAATATCTGAAAAGTTTACACCCAGAATTTTATTTCCATAAAATGATTTTGTTTGACAACAATAACAGGTAACAATAATTTTTATAGATAATCTGCTTACTCTTATTTTAAAGTCTTTTTTTTTTATATTTTCATTTTTACAATTAAAATGGTTTTGATTTAATATATATGTAAGAAATAATTCAGTACTTATAAAAATACTTGATCCTAATTTTCTTTTAGTAATAAGATGTTGTATTAATTCTTTTAAAGTATTTGTTATTTCTTCTGATTAATAAATTTTTTCATCACTAATAAAATAAATAATAATTAAAATATTTATAATACAGTATAAATATTTTTAATTACTTGTATCTTGATGAATTAGATTCATTTTCTAATAGTTCTTGCAATGTTAAAATTTTTGCTTGTGCCCAGGATAACTTTTTACGTATATTTTGTAAATTTGAAGTAGTACTTTTTAATTTTTGACCAAGTTGTTGTACAATTGATTGCGCAGTTTCCCAGCCTTCAGATTCAAGAAGTGTTGCTTTTCTTTTTAATGATTTATTATTAGATTTGGCTAATTGTTTTCCTAAATTTATAGTATGTAATGTTTCTTTTTCTTCTAGATAAAATTGTTTTTCTTTATCAAAAATATGTAAAAAATAACTTCCAATAAAACCCCATAACCATTGAACATTTTCAGTATTTATAAATCCTAATAAAAATAGTAATGATATTTGTCCTTTGTATTGTAAATTTTGTGAATTATTAATATAAGATAAAAGAGAATTCTGATTTTCAAATCGTAAAAGTAATTGTGTTGCATTAGTAAAAGATGAATCAAGACCAAACTCTGCCCATTCATATAAAATAATTTTTTTAATAGAACACCAATGTAATTGTACTGAACAATAAATTCCTCCAAAAAACATAAAAATGTGATAACCCGGAATTAAAGGAACTAAACTTTTTTTTCAACATCGCTATCAATTTCAGGTACATATAATCTAATATATACAGGATTTTGTTCTTGAAGCGTATTTTCTATAAACCCATGTTCAGGTAAAATTGATAACTGAGAAATATCATGAACAAAAACTGAATGATTACTATGAGAAATTTTAGTTCGATAATTATTTTGTCTTATAAGTTGTTTCGCCCAATTTTTATTCTGTAATAAAAAATATATACTATAATTAATGTTCTAAAAATAGATTTATATAATAAAAATCGTTTGCTTCTAACTAATGCTTTAAAAAAATATAAATACCATAGGATTTTATGATAAAACTATGCTAATAAAGAGTCAATATTACACCTATTAAGTTTTAATAAATAGAGATATGTAAGTTTAAAAGGTTTTATTTGACATGCGCAATTTTAAGACTCCATGCGCAAATATTTATATATAAGTTTTTTTGAACAAACCTTATTTCAGAATAGTTTTTTGACAAAAACTATACAATATTTAATATATGAACTTTCGAATAACTAAAGACAGCTTTCTCATATACTTTTCAAACGATTGGTCAAATATTTTATAGTCACGGGTTTGTATAATTTATAAAAAAAGGGACAAATTCCATGATCGACATAATAAGGGGTCCGCTAAAGCCTTGTACCCACGTGACTTTTTTTTATGTAGATCACCAATCAAAATCATGAGATTTTGTTTACGCGGATCAGCCCGAAGAAATCAAAAAATCAA